GTTGTGATTAGTGACACTAAATTGGATTAATGTGTTGCATTTTCTTGCTGGAGAAGCGGAAGAGAAGGCATATTCACAATATGTATATACTATGTATATTGTCCATGTTGTAAAAAGGACTCTGTCATCTAACTTCAGGCTGCCTTTCTCATCCTGCTCTCATCACACACACACACACACACACACACACACACACACACACTCACACACTTTCTCTCTCTCTTACTTCACCTCAGCCTTAAATAACCACCAGCAGTTCCTAGTCCCATGCTAATCCGTGTTCATGCTCCTCCATCTACCTGAAGTGCTTTTTTTCCTCCTGTTTGTCCATCTACAAGTTGTTTTTTGTCCGTAATGACTTAGTTCTACTCTAAGTTCCTCATTCTCACCATTCTCCCTTCCACCCCTGACCAGTGACCTCTTCCCTCCTCTGCAGCTCTATGTACAATATACAGATGCCCGGGCTAGCTGAAACCTATGACCTTTCATTGTCCTTATTCATGAACCTGCTTCTCTCCTCTGTCAGCACCTGGTGCCTCTGGAGGGCAGGAATCTTATCAGGCTTTGTATCTCCTACAATTAGCTTGGTACTTGACACATAAAAATATTCACTTAATAAATATGTATCTATTTAATCAATTAGTTAAATGTCCTGCTCTTTTCCCAAACAACTTCTGATCCTTTTGAGCAACTTCTGATCCTCTAGTGGTTGCTGGTAGGATTACCAACAGCACTGCTATGTCTAAACAATTTAAAATACCCAAAGTGAAAACCATTAGAGTGGCTACTCACTAACTGATGATATTCTCAAATAAGCTTTGGTAGGGATGATGATGCATTTTCACAAAAGCTGGACATAGATCATTAAAAGTTGAAATTTAACAAGCTTAATAGAGCCAGCAAGAACAGCTAGGGAGGTGGAAGGAACCAATGCTTGACAGGACTGGTGATAGGCAAGGGCAGGGACTGAGAAAGAAGACATCTCTTCCTGCCAGGGCTACTCCTTATGTGACCTTAAGCATTCATTAGGCCTTAGTGTTGTGCAGGAGGGAAAACTTTCCCCACCCACTCTGGGTTCTTCTTGGACTATCTGAATAATCAAAATAATGTCAGACAGATTAATAGGGAAAAATTTAATCACAAGCATACATAGGCATGAGAATTCCAAAGATAGTAAAGCAAAATGGAGCATAAATATCCTGAGCTAAAGAATGGTATAGGGACCTGGAGCTTCAAGGGGAGAGGAGAGAGACTCTCATAATGGGGTGGGGGGGTCATATAAGGGAGATCAGATACTCTTGTGATTCACTGCCAGATAGATGGATAGGTAGATAGATATATAGACACATAGGTAGATATTCACTCAGAAAGGTTATTTCTGGTAGTAACTCTAGTTCTGGGTAAAACTCCTAATTTACATTTTTATCGGTAGTTAAGAGAGTGGTAAAAATTTCTCTTGAAACTGCAGACCTTAATTGAATTCAGCTCAAAATAATCCCCATGACAATGTGGTGCATCTTGTGGAGGCCTGTCTTTTACAGTGTCCTCATCACTGTAAACAGAGACCTGGGGAGCGTCATTCCCAAACCATGTTCTGGAAACACTGCCTCAGCCAATGCGAAAAGCTAGGCTGGGAAAAGTGTTTTATTTACATCAATAGTTAGAGGAAGATTGAACTACACGCACCTCTTTAAGATTCACAATGACAGTAGAGCATTAAAAACATGCTAAGTTCCCCAGTAAGGTAACAGTGAATTTTCTTCAACTTGGCATTTCCCAAATTACTTGAGCTTGGAGCTAATTTTCTGGACTAGTAATATTAGCATCGTGCTCACAATCCCTTTTTGGCAAATAGTGGACAAAGTCTGCAAGGTCCAGTCCTCTCATTCGTTTGTTCATGCATTCATTCATTCATTCATTCATTGTGTTTTGAACAAAATTGCTGCTCCTTATACACCCTCTTCCTTATTTTGGATTGCTGATGTGTCTATCTCTATAATAAAGTTCATTTATTTTTCAGAGCAATGGTGTTTTTTTTAATGCATTAGCTACCCAGGGATTTTTTTTTTTTTTTTTTTTTTGGTCCTTTCTCATACTGCATGTCATGATCAGATTTTATTACCTGGTAATAAAATGAAAGAAATGAGAATTGAGTTGTTTCTAAACAAATATCAATCATTTGTGATATGTTTAATAGAAATTATGATGAATAAAATCAGGGCTTTACTTATTATGAAGTCATTATATTCAACATTGGCAAATCCCAAATTAATAAAAGTGAATAAATCATTTGCAATGCCAGAGACCAAATAAATAAAAACAGGATTGACCTTGTTAGAAATTTGAGATTTTCAATATTTATCTGTCAGAGCCACTGATTTGGAAATTGTTATAAATTCTTTAAAAATGAGAACATTTTTTCCCTGTAAAAATACCCATCATTTGGCAAACTACAGTGTCATTTTCCTTGAAGAGAATGTAGTGATTGATTATCCAGAGTGCTCCCATGACAAGGTAAACCAACCAAATAGCTGGAAAATTGTATGTAATCATATAGCATCACAGAGGCTCTGGGTTGAGCACAGCCATTGGAATTAAACCATGGCATTCTAATCACTCCCTGCAGGTTCTTCCTGTTTACCCCAAAACCTTTATCTCTGGGGGATATTCCTGAGTGCCTGCAGTCTCCCCTTCCCCTCTGACTACATCAGCACAATCCTTACCATCCAAAAGCACTGGGGTAAAGAGCAAACTGACTCCCCCAAAGAGATCTCAGCATGCAAAGATGTCTTTGGCTAGCATCCCTACATGCATGTCGTTCGAGAGGATTATTTGTGTGTGTTGGTGTTAGTAATACTGTTTATTTTATTACCAGTAGCATCCTAAAGAGTTTGAGAAATTATAGCCAGGTGAGGGAGTGCAGAGGCTGGGAGATGGACAAAAGAAATAGAAGCATGCCGTTCTCACTTTGGAGAAGTTAATCTTATCAGGGAGAGAGAAAGGGAGAGATAGAGAGAGAGAGAGAGTCTGTCCCCCCATACCTGTCCGTGTCCATCCTGAGAACAATTAGACAGTATTTCCTAATGTGGAAGACTCATGCATCGATTGAATACCAACCTGGGTGATGAGGGTGAGTAGAGGAGCCATCAAATTATCCTTGGTTATTAAAAGGTGAAATTAAGTGATAAGCCAGGACTGGCTACCCCAACCTGCCCCCAAGGTGATTATCAATAGCGTCATTGGAAATGGACCCAGGTCCTTTCTCTCAATAATCTGAGTAAAGCTCCCTGTGTGCCTCTTCCCTGCAATGTTTTAGACTTTAAAGAGGCTTTGTTAGGATGGCAAGGCTACTCTCTATTAATTGCCTTCCACATGTTGTCGGATAGTCTGTGTTGTGACTCCAGAGGAGGATTTTAGATTCTTCTTAGCAGCATGGGGACATGTAGCCAAGCAGAATCAATTCCTGTCACTCACACACAAATACAGAGGAACGGGATTATGGATCAGGGTGAAGCTGCAGAGCTTTAATCTTAAAATCAATACAGAGAAGGAAGTTGAACTTGTGGGGATTCTATAGAGACTGTAATTTGGTTTCCTATGTGGGTTGCCTTACAGAATATAACTGCTCCTTCCTTTTCACCTTTTGATTATTTTACTTGGAGGATAGAGGTGGGAAAAGAGAAGGAAAGAATACAAGCAAATAATCTTGAATTAGCATGCAATGAAAACTCAACACACTCGCTCATCCTGCATCGTGTTGAGAAAAGCTTTATACGTTTGTCCATTCTTTCTGTTTTTAGAAGAAAAAAATTAACCAAGACCCTCTACCCAGAGTCTGCATTTAAGCCTATTAAAATGCCTTTGATTATTTCATTTTCAGACTGGGGAAAGAATTTTTTTTGATGTTTACTTTTATGGCAAAGCCTAGTATAGCTTATGTGATTTTATATAAATTAATACATATTCAACAGGTCAGTTATTGGCCAAAGGATTTCAAGCATCTGTGCATGTAAGTAATATTTATGCCAGTTTAATTCTTCTGAAAGAGGCATGGACTGGTAGCTGAAACAATTCAGTCTTATTCAAAGATTTAGAATTTATTAAATATGCCTACTTTTCATCTCTAACGCTGATTTGTATTATACTCTGTTTCCAGCTGTAAGATAAAACGGGCTTATTAATTTCTTCCCATAATTTTTTCAATTCAGCTTTAAAATATGTCTGAATCCATATGGGCACTGTTTCTACAGTGGCAGCAATAGGAATGATCGCATGAAAACATGATTGGGTTGGAAGAGAGTACAGACGTAGCTCTAAGGGAGAATGATGTCATTAAATGGGGAAAAACCTGCCACCCCTGCTTCGTTTACTTCTTTGTTTCTATTTAATCTTTAAACTGGGGGTGATTTCAGGATTCAGCTGAGAGATTGGAGTGTTGAGAGTATTGAATGAGCTAAAGCACTGTACTTGTAAGAACCCAGTAAATGTTCATGATAATCATGATTATTTTGTGAGTCTCAAGCCAGGTAGCATATGCTGTATCTGTGAAAACATTCTATAAGCTGTGGGGCACAATGCAAATGTTAGTTGTTATTCTCCATAGATTGATGGTCTTGAAAATGTTAAACAAATCATGGAAGTCCTTTTCTTTGTTCTGCGTGTCCTTTGGTCTTTAATATCAAAGTAAAGTCCTGCAGGTGATAAAGCAGGCTCCAAGCAATATGCATTTTCTTTTTTAAAAGCCACAGAGATGTCTGTGGATGCCAGAAATTCCCTGCAATCGATTAAAAAATCCCACAGAGAATAATTTCTTAGGTCTCTGCAAGACTAGCACCGTCTAAGATACTTACGTATTGTTTGTAATCAGTATCTTTAAATGTTCCATCCTCCCAGGAAAGCTCAGCTTTCTCAAGTCCTTTCACTTGGCCTTCCTCATGCCAGCCATCCCTCAATAAATAAACTCATGAATTTCCATGTTCTCTCTTTGTATTCTTTTCCAGAGCACAATCATTGTGGAGAAGACAGTGCAGGACCTCATGAATCTGATGCATGACTTGAGCGCATACTCAGATCAGTTCCTCAACATGGTGTGTGTGAAGCTCCAGGAGTACAAGGACACCTGCACTGCAGCCTACAGGTAGAGCTCCTGCTGGGAGTGGAGGGCAGTCACCTGAGAAGCTTACCAGCACCATAGTCGGTGATAGTGCTTTTGTAGCCTAATGTTCCACCACTATGGAAAAGAACCATCCCTGAGTTTGTCAAGGGGCCTGATGAGAATATAGGTCGTGGAAATAGCCTCTGAGACCCTGGGATCATCTGCTTGACAAAGGGCATGGAAGGAAGAAGGGGACAGAGCTGCTTAGGACTGGCATGGGGTGGCTTAAATGAGGTGTCATGAAAGGAAGTCTAGATGGTAAGATTTATCTTCTAGGAAATTCCAGATCTTGACTAGTCCATCGGTGATTCTAAGCAATTTCCAGCTTGCAGTAACCCTTAGTAATCTTTAATATGTTGGAGTTTTTTTTTTTTTTTTACCCTACTACTTACAGATGTTTTGCTCCTGATGGTAGATCTGTAGCTTTTCTATTGTCATGAGAAGACAGTTACATCTGTTTTCAGCATCAGTGGAAATAGAAAACCATTGTTATGAACTTGAAAACCTTTCGCTTTCCCCTGATTTCTTTTCTCTGGGCTCAAAATCTCTCTGGGTTAGTAGAAGAGATCATCGCACTTCTTGTAAAAAGCTAATAATAGGAACAAATTATGGTCTGGTTGACAAGACCTGAAACCATTAGGGAAGAAAAGGATGTATAATCAAATAGTACATCGATGTGATATATAATTAAGACTGGATAGGTAAAGTATAGTACATAAGTGGTACTGCTTGTACAATACAGAAGATAAGAGCAAAAGGAATAAACCCAAGAGAGAAAGGGCAGTCAGGGTCTGGCAAGATTATGCAGAAGGTGAGTTACGTGCTGGACCTTAGGGAGGTGAATGAGTTTTAAGGAGGTATAAAATAAAAAACAGGGCATGCATGGGTGGAGTAGAAATTGTGACACAGTTGTCTGATATTCAGAGAGAAAAATAAGGAGGAAGTTTGATTCGAACTGAGTTCCTAAGAGAAGGCAGTAGGAGATAATGCTGAATGAAAGAAGACCAAATAAAAAAAGTTTTAAAAAATTAGATTTGAAAATTTAGATGATACGTGGTAGATGTGGCGTCATTTTAAGTGAACCAGGGAGCAGTGTGAGGAAAGATCAGTGTAGCCATGGAGCACAACATAGGTTAATGCTTACCCTGTTTCAGTCCATCACTAAGGAGTATTTATCCACAGCTGCATGAACCAGTTAAAAGAAACCCAGTCGTCTCATTGGGATATGGACGTGCACTCATATATTACTTCTTTTGTTCATTAACTATTCATAAAAAGCAATATCATGTAGGTTAAACTGATACATATAACCAATAATTACAATTGTGTGCTAAATAATTATAAAGGCAATTTAAACAAAGTATGTTAAAATTTAGTCTGTTGTAGCAAAGTTTAGTTCAATAATTTAAATTATTTAGAATTTACACAAATACTTTTTACAGAAAACTGCTCTAAAGTAATAATAAAATACCTTCAAGCGTGAAGATACATTCTATTAGCTAAAATTCACTGAAATAATAATTAAAAGTGAAAATATCCAGCTGTTAAATAACTTATTCATATGTATTTTAAATGTAAAATAGTGGGTAACAAATCCCAATGGTATTGAGAATGCACTGGATACACTGATAACCTGATTTTAAAATGTCAGCATTTATAATATTCCAAAATTATATCTGTTGTGCTCATTTCAATTTATCCTTAATTTATACTGTCATCTTAAAAATGTGGGAAGGAGTTTTTCCAAATTTCTCTTTAAGAGATATACAAATAAAAAACTTTAAAGCCACTGCTCTTGGCTAGTCATCTAAAATGGATATTTCTGGGCCATAAAGTATTAATTTTCAGTTTTTCAAAATGAGGCTCCAGAATGGCTATACCAATGTTTCATGTACCAGTGAAAATCAAACACATTTTAGATATTAAAGCCTAGATATTCAAAAATTAAATATTTAAAATCTATTGCATTTTAATAACATAATTTAAAATTTTCTTTATTTTAATCTCCATTGAAATTTAAGCTTTTTTTTAAAAGCAAGGTGTGTCCTCTTTTTCTTTTACTGCATTATGGAAATCCAATAATTTCTAACAAAAAATACTAGTGAAAATTATAACAGGAGAAGTTATGTAACCTGCCCAAGATACAGTAAAATTTACCTATTACTGTTGTTCTTGTTATTTTGATAGAAATCTTTTTAAATTAGTGTGTCTTTGCTTCTTATTTATTGCAGGTCTTCTTTTTCTCAATTATGGTCCTGCTTCTCAACATACCAAGTGATGGGAAGCTCATAACATCAACAAAGCCAACTGTTCATTGTTGAAGTTTCTCATTTTGAAACGCTGTTCCCCTGCTCATTGGACTTGGTCCTGATTTTTACTGGAATGATTCCAAATCAGATTAATCCTGATACATGTGACAATGGCTATCACGGTCCATTTAGTCTTTATTTTTTCCTTTAGACTGAACATTCTGAGTTTCCGAAATGTCCTGGATATACAAACCAGCCCAGTCTTCTTTCTTGCATTGCCCACTAGCTTGGCAGTGTCAGTTTCAAAAGGAGAACTACAGACTGATTCCAGGGCCCAGGGGTGCCCTTTGTCCTTCTGCAAAAAGCATGGCTTTCCTTCTGCAGGACTCAGTCTGGTCCCAGTACTTCTTATCATATCCTCCCTTGCACCTGTCAGATAGCTATTGACTCCCTGATCCAAGACCACCTTTGTGGGCACGAAGAAGTTAATCAGTCGTGAATGACAACTCTATTGAGTTTACATTCTTGGTAGAAGTAGGAAAATAGGGGACAAAGAGCTCAGCCAGGGTTCTCTACAGCATTAGTTTATGACACATGACGTGGTCAGCGTGGGCAATGGTGACATGCTGTGGAAGAAGAAATTACTTAAGGAGAGCAAGAAAGACTCAGCGAGGGACACAAAGTGGGAATGAGGAAGGTTTAGGTAAAAGGAGCTGAAGGGAGGAAGGAACCACAGCAATGTCAGAGACAGGAAAGAGGAAAAGGAAGAACAAGTGATGAATGTTTGGGTTTTCGAAAGGAAAGCTGAGTCAAAGCAAAGAATCTTGAATTGGGTTCTGGGAGCCACTGAAGGTGAATCAGCAGGGAGAAGCTGGGACAGAATGTGCTTTAGGGAGATTTTTCTGAACTTTGTGTAAAATGGATGGAAAGACCAGAGTGTGGAGTTAGAGGGGAGAGAGAGGAGAAGCAGAAGGGACAGATCAAGAGACAGGAAGAAGGTAAATTCCTCGGATGGGCCTGATTGGCTGTTAGAGGGTAAGGAAATGTAAGAAGAAATACTAGTCAAAATTAGCCTTATATTTTCTATGCTGTGTTTTTGGAGACATTTTTTAACTTAAATTCAATATCTCAGATTTATCCCTATATTAAATGTTATTTTTAGTTAATCATTTCACTCTATTGAGATATTTTTGAATCCTTATTCAGTCATCAAAAAATCTTAGCTATTCCTCTAAGTTCTACTGCATTCTTGATTTTGTAAGCAATCTCTAGAGTTTTTTTAATGTCATCAAAAAAAAATGTTCACCAGAAAGGCTAGGTTGAGAATTTGGGGAGCACACATCTTGAGACTTCCTTTGAGAGTAACATCCATTACATATTACATATATCACTTCAGGAGTACATGTGTTTGTCTGGTGATGAGCCTGGACTTGAGCTCAACATCAGGCTCTGGAGCCCAACTCTGAATAACAGCTTTTCCACCTACCAGCTAAGTGACCATGAATATTACTCAAACTCTCTGTGCCTTGTGTCATCTGCAAAAAAGGGATGAAAATAGTTCTGTGCTCATGGAGCTGGTTTGAAATGTGAAGTCTTAGAACTGTTTTTAGCAAAAGAGTAAGCTTCCCCCAAAGGATTAGTATGTTATTTTGATAATGACAACAGTGCTGATAACAAAAGTGACCTTTGACTTTTACCACCATTCCTGACAGTGCTCCCTGCATCTCCTCATTTGTCTATAAGAGCCTTGTTAAATTTCTTGCTGGTGTCCTCCCAGTCCCTATTCTTTTAGGCAGGTAAGCTTCCTTCATGTCCCCCTAGATGGACAAGTACAAGCCAGCTAAGGACAATACTAGGTCCTCCCAGCCCTGTACTTTTAGGGCACACTGCTCCCCACTCTGTCAAACTTTTAGAACTCTTTTTTGGTAACCACACTTGTCTTGGATGCCTTGCAAATTGCCCATGGAAACAAGGTCTCTTTGACCTGAAGCCATAGTTACCATTTCTTCACTCAAGTCAACTAATTGCCTAGTTAGGAAAGGAAAAAGATCATGTGACTTGTTCTTTGTGAGATCATCCTGGTCCTAGTGAGTACCACTTCCCAATTGTTTACAAACCATTTTGAATGATTTCTTCTAGAGTGTTGCCTGTTCTTCCAAACTTACTCAGTTGCTTTAATTTTCCTTCTTCTATGAACATCAAGGACATTTGCTCTCAGGCATTGCTCCCATTCTGCCAGGATACCTACCTATAAGATGATCAGCAGTGATTCTCTGATTCTATGCTGGGAGTGACTTCAGTACCCTAAGGTCCTTGCCTAAATATATTAAACCTGCCAGAATAGTCTTTCATCTCAGTAACTGTTGGTGCAGTTGATTAGTCCATCCTTAAATCAATTTATTTAGTTGGTTTGGAGGATTTCATTCATTCACCAAATGTTTACTGAATTCTCACAGAAGAGTTTGTAGGGATAGCAGTGAGCCAGACAGACAAAATACTGCTTTCACGGGGTTATATTCTATGGGAGAGGAAAAGAAGAAAGAGACAGTAAATATAATACATAAACAAAGAATTTTAGGTGACAATAAGTAGTATAGAAAAAGAAATGGAGTGGGGTGAGTAGATTCTGGAGTACAGAAGGATGTTGCCGGTATAAATAGTGTGCTCCAGGTAGATCTTGTCAAGTTGAGGTTTGACGAAAGGCTTAAGAGTTTGGGAAACTAAAGAAGTTGT